TATTTGCTATTTTATTTTATTTGTTAGTAATAGGGGTTGAATCCAGGGTCTTACACGTGCTGGGCAAGTGCTCCACCACTGTGCTACATCCCCAGCTTGTCTGTATATTTTAACAACAGAATTTCTGAATTACTTCATTTGGATCCAGAAAATAAATAACTCCTAAGATAGACAGGATGTAACCTGCAGTAATGGAAAGCAGTTTAAATCCTTCTATTTTTGCATTTCATCTTGACATAAGGTTATATGCAGACAAGGACTCAGTGCCACTTACTATAGCTTAGTTTATAATGAAATATAAGATGGCAGAAAGATGGTCCATTTCTTTCTTTCTTTTCTTTTTCTTTTTTTTTTTTTTTTTTTTGGTCTTTTTGAGACAGGGTCTCACTATGCAGTTCAGGCTGGCCTTGAGATCACTTTGTAGCCCAGGCTTGTCTCGAACTCACAGCGATCCTCCTGCCTCAGCCTCCCTAGCACTGGGATTACAGGCATGTGGCACCACCCCCGGCTCCATTTCTTTCTTTCCTATTGCCTTATTTCATTCCTTCTTCCATCTTTCCACTCACCCACCCATCCACTCACCTATATATCTGTCTTATCTATCTGTCTAGCAATCCATCTATCTATCAATGTAGGTATGTATGTGTGTTTGCATTGATCTACACATAATTTTAAATGGTAATCCCACTACTGAAAAACCCCAGCCATGTCTAATTATATCTATTACATTTCAAGAAAATATTAATCTATTTCTACCTGAAATAGAATCTTTTATTCATAGGTTATGAACGTCAAATTTAAATGATGCTATAGCATATACCTTATGACTTCTGAACATGAAAAATCTTAGCTTTCTTGCACTGATTCACCTAGACATTCTTACGAGCCCCTTGTTAGGCCCTAAAGCATAGATGTGAGTATGTATAAGTGTGTATGCAGACAGCAAGATAATTGATATTACAGCATTTTATTCAGGTTTCAGTTATCAATATTCTCCCAATTTTGTCACACAAAAAGCAATTTCATGAGGTATCTTCTAATACTATGTTGACAATTAACTTTAAAGTCTTTAAAAAAACCAAAAAAGATTAAAATAAAAAAATCATTTTGCTTCTAATATCTTTCATCTGGTCTAGGGATACCTGTGCAGCCTGGTGCTATAATTATATGGCAGAGTTTCCTGGCATTAGAAAATCTTAAAAGGAAATGCATGTTTTCAATGAAAGAAAGCAGGGCCCCTGGTAACTTGGAGTGCAATTACATCATTATAAAATTTCAGAGTGAAACACAATACATTGGTTTCATTTCTAGTTGGCCTATTTCTAGTTTCTTTCTGTCCTATCATGGAGGGACATTTTCATGCACTGGCCATTAGGAAATGTTAGAGTGTTAGCAAGCAAGACAAGCATGACTGATGTCTGTCTTTTGAGTAAGATATTTCCATCAAAGCTACATACATATCATACACATTTTCCTAAACATTTGTGGCACAATTCACGGAACAGGTACTTTTCCACTCCCCATTTCCCAGTTTGGCTGCTGAAAGATGCAACAAGGACCCAGTCATAAGAAACAAAGAATCAAGAGCCAATCCATAAAGAGAAGACTGCCCCCACCCCAGGCTTAATTCAAGCAAGCCATTCACAGAGCTAATGGGATGGACCTGTCGAATCCAGAACAAGTCACAGACACATGAGCAACACCAAGTGGCATGCAATGACCAGATGACCATAGGTGCCACTGCCATGCTTTGATTGGTTCAAGCTCAGAAAACAATCTCATTGAAAGTGTGGACAATTAGCTTTCCATACAACAAAGTAAGATTAAAAATAAGGATCTGGTGATATCAAAGGTTTATCAAATGTTTCCTAAATGCCAAGAAAAAGATGTCCACCTAGCCCCACTTATTGGTCAATAAGACTGTAAAATTACCTAGTTCAGCTCCATCTTTTTCATTTGGGAAAATCTCTGCTCACACCAGATGGTCTTCATTCTGGAGGTCAACATTCAGGGACTCTCAGGGTGCTCCAAGATAATCAGCATGTGATCATTTAACCGGAAAAATGATGGGCAGGAAGTTGCAAGGTGCCCATTACACACCTTCTGGGATGTCCTGAGGTTACTGGAGTTCAATATTTTCCAGAGGTCCCTGAATCTTTAATGTGATGAAGGCTTAATTTGTGCTGATAAAAGGTAAAATTCTACCAACTGGGAACATCAAACTTCTTTCCCTTTCAAGATGTCGAAAGAGTGAATCTCACGATTACAGGGAACGTTAGTTGCAGTTTTTCTTTTGATCAAATTGACAACCTGTGAGCATTTCCAAAACAGTCTCAAGTCCTGCTGACTTTCTTTCCTATTCTGAATGCATTTCTTTTTGTTAAGAAGTTTATCTCTTTGTCCTCCAGAGGAGAGGAACTAAGAGTCTGTTATTAGTGACACTATGCTGTGATAGCATAAAAATAATTTATCATACTCTTCCCCTGAGATAAATTGTAGATACTTGAGACCATGAGAAGGTTGTACAAGAGTATACATGTGGCGTCTTTAATATGGAGGCAAATGCTGTTGTGATAATTTCACATTTTCCCCAGAATGTGTGTATTGATAAAAGGACCTTCCTTCTCTGAGGCTGCTTAGTAAGCATAAAAGCAAGCGCCACCATAGAAAGCCTTGATAAATCAAACCAGAAATATCATTTTAGAGATTGTTTTCTGGTAATTCACCTATTACTGGATTTACCTCAATGAATAATTCCATATGTGACAAGTATCTTGCTTACAATAAAGTTAAATAGGGCCAGTAATCAATTTCCACAGCAACCAAGAAGACCTAATGTGCAAATGTCTCTAATGAACAACAAGAGGCCAATTACATGAACAAGGATATAGTTAGTTGGTTTCTTCAACTGAAGCTGTTATACTAAACTGGGAATTGCAGTTATTAAAGATTTACCAAGCCAAGAATGAGGGCATTTTTTTTTCAGTAGGATATATTTTCAATGAGAAATCTTAGTAATATTAAAACTACAGATTTTATACATATATTTGCATGTGTAGTGCTGCAAAATGAAGAAAATTTTAACTGAATTTTAGAAGAATAGATGTGGAGATTGCTAGTTCTCAAGTCAACCTGAGAATAGTGTTAAAACATTATTTTTTAGAATGTCTAGATTTATCTTATTGAAGAAGGCAATTTTGTAATTTTATAATTAACCTTTTTTCAACTTGGAGATAGATACACTTAGACTGAGAAACAAGATAAACATTCAAAGAAATAAATCCATTTAAGATTCTTATAATTATGCAGCAGGCTAACGTTACTCTGATTATAATTACATACAAAGTGGGTGTTAGAGAATTTAGCATCTAGAAATATTTTCATAAAAATAATTAAGGGTTATAGCTGAACAACGTTACAATTGAAAACGTGTGACTCTTCAGTGTGTGGAGTTTAACAGCATTAAGCCTTTTCATTTGTAGAACGATCTTGAGTGTTTCTAGACTGTTGCCATTTTTATGAGCTTTATTATCTCCATTTTCCTAATCCATTGGCAAAGTATATGGGAGATAGCAATTTATAAGAAACATTTTGCATCTTGGAAACTGATCATTGGGCAAGTTTTGTGTTTACAACTACGACTTAGCAATGGTTCGTATTCCTTTGAAGGCACCTTACAGCCTTGAGGACTTGGTATGGCTACTGATGAGAAAATAATATCCACATACAATCAGCCAGCAGATCTTAACTCTGCCTTGTCAAAGAGCCATTTGTTACAGATAGGCATGGGATGTTCCAAGTGTAGGTATTAAAGTTCAAGGATTTATCTGGCATTATTAGCTTATAGAAAACTTCTGCAGCTACAGTGGGTAACAACCCATTTTGTGAGACATGGAATGGAACTGCTGGAAAAGCACACCCCAGCAAAGTGAGAGAGAGAAATCAATCACCAGAGGCCAGGTGGGAGGAGTGCTTGCTGACACTTCCCACCCAGGAGTCAAGTCCATTGACTGCTTACCTGTCTGACCCAGCATGCCTCAGCCACACATGCAAGTTGTTATCATTATCTTATTCATGAAACATATTTTTAAATTAAAGAACTCATTACCAAAATAAGCACCCTCTATGACATTTGTGCATGCAGAGCATCTGAACATTCACATTTATGTTCTCAGAAAACAGAGCCAAGGAGTTGCATTCAATATGGAAACACACACTTTGTTTTGTCAAGGCACCTACACAAAAATAGCTATGGCTTGCTGTTTCAGGAACCAAGTCAGCTATAAAGCCTGAGGAATTAAGCCACTCCCACACAACCGTTCTGACTTTTACATTTCTCCGACACACATCTGTTCCTTCCACTGCGAGTTTTGATGTGTGGTGTGCATTGCAAATAAAAGGCGATTTATGTTTGTAGGATTGGACATTGGGCATTGCCAAAAAAGGAATAAATCTTATGAAATTCAGGTACACTTTTCATTCCTTTATTTTAAATTTTAAAATGCTTTCCTGAGTGTAAAAAGTTGTCGGCAAAGAAGGTGCTTGAAATGGAGGTAAACCTGCAGGATCATTCTATTTTTCCTTTCATGAGTAAGATCAAACCATGGTCTTACATAGAAGACCATGAGAAGGTTGTACAGGAGTATACATGTGTGTTTGGGGGGGTTCAGTGTTTGTGTGTGTATAAGTGTGAGTGTGTGTGTGTGTGTTAGAAATTTATATGGTCACAGTAATAAAGAGCTCTGAAAAGAAACTATAGAAAGATAAAACACATCCCTTCCTTTGTGTACTAGCAGAGAGGGTGAGGAGTTTGGAATGAACTAGGTTAATCATTCCTCCTGTCCTTGTGGCCTAATATACCCCTTTAGCATGGGACCTAATGTTTGGGTGCTTCCTCCCCACTAGTCATGCATCTTCAGCAAGATCACACGAGAGTGTCCTGTCCCACCAGCTAAATCAATTTTCAAGTAGTTGTCAAGCACAAGTAGGAGGACTCTTACCTGTCACTGTAGGCGGCAGCAGTGGCGGGGGTAGGCTGGGCGTAGCGGTATGCAGCATAACCACCCTAAAACACAAGGAGAAATTGGACTTAGGAATGCAGAGAAGACCAAGGCAGGGACACCAAGCAGTGAGACCACACCAAAATAGCAGTTACCCAAGTCTACCAAGCTGAAGTTGAGGTTAATAAGAGCTTAGTACACAAAGGAGAAATACAAAACAGACTGCAGAGAGAAAGGGTGGAAATCCAACCCTGCTGCACGTTAAAGGTTAGCAATCCTAAGCACATCCCAGAGGAAGAACCCGGGTGCCCTTAGAAGGAAACGTACCTAAGTGTTAACGGTAACTGTCTTGAAGTGAGGAGGGTTATAAGGGATTATTAAAAAACTCTTTATACTTTGCTGAACTTTCCAGATTTTCAAAATTGATTGTTTTACCTTCATTTACAAGATAGTAATTTAAAATTTATTTAAATGATCTTTAATTGTGTCCTTACAAAAATGATCCACTGTCTTTTATATTCATTAGAAAAATCACATAGTGCTTTGAAAGTTTCTTAGTGATTCCAGTCATTTAATGACTAATGCTATTGAAGAAGACTGTATTAGCTGTCTAAATGTTATATAATTGTTATAAATGTGGTGAATATTTTGCAAGGATTCCATCTTTTTGGCTGAAAATGTCACACTGCTTTGTGTCACACTGGTTCGGCTGTGGGATTTGTTTGGTGTACAAAATATGATAAAGCCTTCTAATTTGTAAATAAAATCATTAAGAGAGAAAAAAAATCTAGAAAGAAAAATAATTAACATTTAGTTGTTTGTACCAGTAATTGCAATTGTTCAATTAAGCAAGGAGGACAGCAAATGTGCATATTCAAAAGGAATTGTGTTCAGTGGAGCATTGATTATCAAACTGTGAAAATAACAGAGCTTCTTGCTCAACAAACCACAGCGATATGTCAACCACTGTGGAATGATCTCAGCACAATTAACAAACAGGATCCAGTTTCCTGTGATAACGCAGGGGCTATTCAGGTTTAATTAGAATATACAATCCCATCACCCTCTGAGGGAAGGATGCTTACCCTCACCATAAAGGGGCAGGTTAGGGTAGAAGACTGCGTCTGAGGGCATCTCACAACAAAATCATCAGCGCAGGAGGACCGGTGTCATGACACTTGGCTTTATATACAGAAAAAAAACTAAATAGAAAAGGAAGTAGATGAAGCAGGAATACTGTAAAAAGCATCCTTCAAGTCTAGGTAAAATGACTTTAGTAGTTTCTTCCTATCTGTCTCTAGTTATAGCTAACCTTCAGAGTGAGTGTGCATAGCAATTCAAAATAACTGGCTTATCCTTAAAGAAGTTTGTTCTTTAGATCATCCATGGTAAGGGACACATCCAATATATCCTGACAGGTAGTCACCAGTAATTTGGAGCCAATATATGTGTTTTTAGTTTCCCTTTAAAAACAATGTGAATGTTAAAAAAACGGTCTTAACCAGATACCACCTGGTGTTCCAAACACCGTGTCCTCTAATGAGGAGTAGAAAAACTCATTAAATGTGCTGGGGAGTCATCAAACCAAAGGAGTTGTCATACCAGCACTCAGCTCAAGTCACAGAATGATGGGCTGAGCAGAAATGAGGTCACCAAGTTTCTGGAGCTGTTCCTTTAATCTGTTTGCCATCGTCCTGATTTCATGATGCCAGTATGGATATTAAACTCCATGATACAAGGAGGGCTTGGAATTGACTCGCTGATCCTTAGGAGTCCTTAGTTCCAACTGGCTGAAAACTTTGAGTGCAGAAAAAGTATAGATGTGTTTTTCCTCTCTTTCCCAGAACAACTGAAAGATATTCGCTTAGGTAGTAGCACAGGTGCTGCGTAAATCATAACTGGGTAACCATATATTGGGTCCCAGCAAAGATTTCTGGCAATGTCCCACTTGCAAACCCTTTTGAGGTTTGAACTTTGCATATCTCCAACTTCAGCAGTAGTTTCAGTCAATAAAAGGTGGCAAGTCTGATGAATGAGAAGGACGTTATAGGGCAAGCAGAAAATAACTAAAAGGAACTCCAGTGATTATGAGGTTGATATTTATTGTAGGAACATCAAATGCAGGTGTGTACACTTGGTTTTTTTTCAGCACAGCAGATGAGAACTTGGGAATGACTTCCACTTGGTAGAACTGCATATGTCTCGGCCACTTTGAGACAATAAATATGTATTTCTATAAGATAGGCACAAGTGTTTGATATCCTGATATTTGTCTATATAATCTAGGACTTTGTTTACAAGTATTCTTGACTCAAGAGTCAATAAAATAGTCTGCTAAAGTCTTCAGAGAAAGTGAGATTTTTCTTTTTACCTTATTCTGTGGTCTGACAGCTATCCAGCAGACCATGAGTTTATGTTGGAAATGTCCTGAGTCTGGGCCATCCAACACCTTAGCAGACAGTCAGAAGTACATACTGCATGTATTGCATGTTTGACATGTGGGTAGTATAATTTTAACTTGAAATTTTAACTTACTTCATTTTAATTAATTTAAATTTAAGCATAACTAGCCACATGGGGCTGGTGCCTACAGTATTGGACAGTACACATCTAAGTCATTCCTGAAACATAGTAATTGGGGAAAAAAAAGAGTTAGATGGCTTCATAACTCCGCCTCTCTATATTATACTGTCTTCCTTGCTATTTTTTCTTTTGCATGAAATCCATATTAGGAGAATAACAGGGTTGTGTATTAACTCAGCGTATGTGTGCATACACTGTAAAATGATCAAAAATACAAATTGCTTTAATTTGCCTTGTAATGAGTGACTCCGATCAATTTTATTGCTCTGTATTTTTCAGCTTGCTGAGAAGAGCCAGAGTTTCTGCATGGTTCTGTGCTAATGCCTGGAAAAGGAGCTTTCTTCTATCTGAGGTCACCAAACTCTGTCGATGTTCAGCCTGGCCCTCCCACACCTTATGAAAAAATGTCATTGACAAGTAGATTTTTCCAATCACAAAACCAAAGGGAAAAGGAGAAAACAAGTAACATACTTCTATACTTCTCAATCATAAAATACACTCATGTTTTCCCACATTGCGTAGGAAATTATAATATGATTTTGTATAAAAATAAATTTTACATGGCCACTACGGAGTCTGGTGCTGCCACCAACATTGATGGGCATCAAAGAAACATACTTACACAGAATACAATGTTTCCTTTGTGAGTGAAACCTCTGGAGGTCCCTCGGGACAGTTAAAGGACTTCCACAGATGCTTTCATAAAGCATCTTCAAAATTGTGTTTGGTGGGGTATTAATGGCAGCAGGAAAAAGAAAGGAGGTTCTATGACTAAATAGGTTTGGGAAGTGCTGGGTTAAACCAAAAGAAACCTGTTTGTGGAACTTCTTAAAATAACACTGATTAAGACTGAAGATCTCTAAGGCATCTCAAAGTACTTTTTTGATGAAGATGTAAGGTTCCACATTAGAACAGACTTTTGGAAAACAGAGGTCCTAGAGGCCAAATAATAAAATTGGGAAGAGAGGAAAAGCCTTCGGGCACTGCTGGGAACATGCTCCTGGGTAGGAGTGTGACATGAAGGGGGTTTGTGTGGGCTTCCCTTTAGCATGGATGCAGAGGACAGAGCAGCAGGCTTATCTACACAGGAAGGATTCCTCCTTTCAAGAACAGCCATAAGTCTGGTCTCACTTTGTTTAAAGTGGGTGTATTAGTTTAAAGATATCTCAACTTTCTTTACTGTGGTAACATTTACAAGAAAATTTGCAGAATAAAAAACTTCAATGTAAATTATGGCTCCCTAGTTTATCAGCATTGGACACTCAGCTCCTTTCGAAATGTGACAACAGAAGTGTAGTTTTCCTGAAATGTAACCATAAATGTTGATCTCAAGAATTTTAACTACGTTGTCTTCTCCTACTCCTAGTGCCTGCCCTTTTATCATATTCATGGTTTTTTAAAAATAAAATTGGATCAGCTCTCATGACTTTAAAAAATACTGTGTTAACTGAATGAATATTGAACAAAAATGGGAGTTGCCTGTGATAGGCATGTCATGTCACAAAACTCATGTCACAAAACTCCCACTGATCACCTTCAGTTTGATATTTATCTTTCATTTTACTTGACAGTTTTAATGTTAGTGATAGATGAAATTTGGGTCCTCTCACCCAGTAACAGATGTGTTGATGTTTTTCTTTCTACAAATTCATTAATTAGGAATTGCTTCAGCATTAAAAAATAGGTGTGAAATAAATTGTTGACCAACTACAATGAAACCAGGGAGGATTGTGTTAGATATTAACTAAACAGACCTTTAACTCTCACAGTATAAGAACAGGTTTTGGATTTTCCCATTCCAATGGACTCATAGAACCTATTAAAATATGGCCCAGAAAGTTGGGTCAATGAAACCCTTTAATTCTTTTTGCTGAGTTTATACTGGTTGAGTCCAGATGCATTGAAAGCCAATAAATTAACAGTCAATCTAGACCTCCAGTTTGATACACTCATGATCTAGCAAAGCTCATGGCTATGAAGAACCAAGATCTGTCATGGAAACAGCCCTGATACTTGAAAGCAACTGTTCCCATTCTAGTCATGAACATATCAAGAAGATGACCATCTTTAATCCAGAAAAATTCACATCAAAACTGGAAAATTCAGGTAAGTCTTTCCTCCGTTTACGTTAGAGTTCCCCTTCCCAGAATCATCTTGTTAGTAAGAATTTCACAGCAAACCCACAATCAGTGATGAGTTTTTCTACCAGTTGAGATTTCATACCTGCAGCAATTTATTGCCATACACAGGCTCTTGATACACTACTCTATAAGGAAACAGAAATGTAATGTTTTCAATGCAAAATGAAATAAATAAAAGAAAATGCTTAAGTCAGACAGAAATTCCAGAGCAATTCATTTGCAAGTTTGCTTTTTTCATTCTTCACTGAGACTTGAGAGTGACCCATTAAAACTGGAGCAAAACAGGCCCTGTCAAAAATTTGTAATTACAAATCTCTGTAACTAAGATTATCAAAGAAGTCAGAGATAGGGATCAGGCTGCAACGTTTGTGTTCAGGTTATAACCTGTGTTTATTTTAAAGAAGAATAAAGGATAATTTCATGGCTTCTCACCTTTCAAAGTATACCCCAACAGTTTAACTTAACTAACTATTGAGAATTTTTCTCTTCATCTCCTGATTGGAATTCCCTGGCTTACCTGAGGATTTAATTTGGATGCATAATTATTTAGGCAGCAGAGACAACTGTAGAGCAGCAAACAGAATGCATCAACACATTTACCTGTTAATTTCAAATCAAAACACAGTAGAATTGCACTTCACAAGTTCTTGAATCTCAGTGAAGCTACTAAAGCTGTTTTTAAAATGTACTGGAAATCCTACATATGTGTATCTTTATACAGCGGAACTACTGTTAATACACATGTCCTTAACATGTCACACTTCATTCAAATTTGACACTGACGAAGCTCAGTGGAATCCTCACACGGACTGGGAAACAATTTGAAAGTTATTCACGGGTGATTTTTTCATGTAAATTCTTTGAATTTGAAAAGAATTTTCTACCAGAACAAATATCAAGGCCACCGGGTATTTTAAGGAGTTTAAGGATCTGCCCTATAGATGAGTGCACCTGTGTATGTGATTTTTTCTTAAATCATATGACTTTACTTTGTAGCTAATTTTCCTCTTTAAGGTACAATTTGAGCTCATGGGTTCTGCACAAGTCTTGTGTGGGCTTATCACCTTCTTATGGCTTATTTTACTCAGTCAAGTGCAGATATTATTTCCCAGTGGCCTGCCATCACCCTATATTTCTCATAGTCTCTTCTCCTTCTTCTTCTTTCCTTGTTTTCACTGCATTTCTCCACCTTCTCACCAACTTTAATCTGGTGTTCAATGCCTGAGTGCTGACCTCCATGGTCAGCTCTTGCAGGCATCAACTCTCAGGTCAGGGAAGATTTCCAGAAAGTTAATTTGTCTCTTTTTAGGAAAAAAATATGTTTCCTTTTCTGAGAAAATGGAGGTAATGAGATCCCCTTGTTAGTGGGCAGTAGAGAGGAGAAGATAAGGTAGTACAGACTAAAAGTTGTGCATCTTGTCTTTCACATAGCAGATGCTTCACTAGGAGTAGCGTCTTGGGAATAAAGACAGGGTTTGTGTGTGGCGTTTTCCTATTATACACCCATTCCTAAAGCTACTGTACTGTACATTCCTGAGCTCAAATATTAGTGAAATGACTCTTCTTTAAGATACATGCACAGTACAGTAACAAGGATACAGAAATAATTGTGTCCAGGTATGGTGTCAACTGGAAAACTGTCATAACAACAGTGTAAAAATGTCCTGGGATCTCATTGTGCCCTATTTGCTTGGCAATCCTAATGGCTGCATATCAGGAAGTTTGGGATGTTCTTAATAAAAGGAAATACAGTTCATATTCATACTCTGCTCCCTCCCTCCTTCCTTCCTTCCTTTCTATATGCTATTGCCCAGCTGACAGCTATCTTACCCCAGTGTATACTGATAATTTTGTCAAAGTGTTTATGAAAATTCTAATTTCCTTCTGCCTCTCTTATTATAATTTCCTTCTGCCCTTCTTTCCATTTTTAAGAGTTATCTTTTGATCAAATATCACCTTCTTTGATCTTTCCCTGAGAAGGGCACCCAACATGTGTTTTGATTAAGCTGTTAGATAACATTCATATTCCTCTCCTTGGTCAATTTCTGACCTCATGAGATCTACACCTTCACCTATGAATAGAGAAGATGGCTTTGTAAGTCAAGGAAGCTAGTTCTTGGCTTACAACTTTCACTTTATATCACCCTTACTATTAGACTATATTAGACTTCTTTGACTGTATTCTTTAACTTGAAGCAATTTCTATTAAAATGAGTTTATGTAAAGGTACACTAACAAGAACTAATGGTATTCTTGAATGTTTGGTAAGTTAGTTATAAAAATTAAACTAATGTCTTTTTAAACCAAAGTGTGATGTGCGTGCTCTGTCTGCAGGATGAAGGGACTCAGACAATGACCCTGTCCAGCTGTCTTATCTGTTGCACCTCTGATGAGGAGCCATCTGCACTGTGTCTGTGCATCTCCACTCTGACCAGCAGGGCTGGCTTTTCAACAGGACTCAGTTCCTGAAGAGGGTGGATGTTGTTTTTCTTTGCCCTGGTTTCTACCTTAGCTTCTAGCTCAGAGCATCTTTAAGATGACACCCTCTTGCAAGTTCAGGGCATTTATGATCATCTCCCCTTCTCCCCTCAATTCTTTCTTCTCTGCAAAGTTTTAAGAAAGAGATCAGTCTCAGTATGAGGCTACAGCTTGTCCTTTGCAGGAACCATGTTGGTCTTTCAATCTTACATACTCCTCAGAACTAAGAGATGCCTGGGGTGGGGGTCCACCAGCAGGTAGAGGTGGGTGGAACCACCCAGCAATGGCATGAACTGAAGACTTGGAGAACAAAGGCAAAAGGAGGGATGGAGCAGAGAATGTGGACGGGAGCAGTCCTTTCCCAGTCCTATTGCTGCGGTGGTGTTGTTATCATGTTGGCCTGATAGACTGCCAGGGTGGAGGATGATCTGAGCAGCAAGAACCTGACAGTAGCTTCCCTTGTCTAGCTTAGAAGGAGCCAAAGCCAGAGTCTTATCACTCTTTTCAATACCATTAAAAGCAAGAGGCTTAAATCTGTAAGAGGTGACTGATTTCTCTAAACACATCCCAGGACCTCTCATAATTGCCCTAAACCTATTTATCATGCACTGTTTCTAATGAGATTGAAAGAATAAGCCAGGCACTTTCTTTAAGAAAAACAACATAACATGATTTTTAAGGAATCTCTTTAACCAAATCTATTTTTAAAATTGAGCTCTGGAGACATTTCTATCCACAAAACTTCCTATTATTTCAAGAGAGGCAGTGGGGGTAATCACTTAAATGTGTACATTCAAGATTCGAATACACTCCTACCTAGGATGAATCTTGCTCCATAAATTCAAGAGTAAGGGAAATATTTCTATTCTTTCTTCCTGTAAAATGAATACAAGTTTATCTTTGAGCTTATTTGCTGAAAAGTGGGCAGTTTAGTGGTCCAGACAACTACCATACTCCAAACCCACATCCTGGCAGCAAGATGCTAAAGCCATTAACTCACACAGAGCAAGATGCTGGGGAAGGTTCCAGAAGATTCTGGTGAGCTCCTTGGGGACAGGACAAAATGTGCCGGGCAAGCAAAAGTTTAATATCTCAGTAAGTTTTTCTGTCTCCTGACTGCATATTTAGAATAGCCCTCTGAAAAAAATCTTAATGTCTTTATAATATGAACAGTGGAAAATGATATAAAATTGTTTTGGCTGATAAGGTTGGCTTGAAAAATAAGGAGAGGAACAGTCTTCAAGTCCCAGGCCTTAGGCCAAGCTGGACTTGAAGAAATGTCCCTGTAGATATACCTTACCCAGATCCCTGGGGGTACTGCAGCACTTGGCCCAGGGTTTGCTCAAATCAGATTAACCTGTGGGAAAGCAAAAGCTCCTAAAGGTGCTCAAAGGACAAAAGGACATTCAGGTCACTTCCCTCTTACTGTGGAGGCTGGCACATCCCTCACTTCCAAGTCCATCTTTGTTCTGTACCTGTCTTCCTCTGCGGGTTTTCGGATGTCCCTGTCTCCTGACCCAGTGGATACCCACATCCGGGGCCAAGTATTCTGACAGCGCCATTCTGTGTATGTGAATGTGTGTGTGTGTGTGTGTGTGTGTGTGTGTGTGTGTGTGTGTCTGTGTGTGTGTGTCTGTGTGTACTCCCCACAGTCCCTGCCTTCAGTCGGCTTCTACTTCCTGTTATACCAGAATCTGTGAGGCAAGGAAAAGATACTAATTTGAAATATGAGTAGGAAAGCACAAATCAATCAATCATTATTTTACTATACAAAGAAACAGAGGCACAGTGAGGTGGCTACTCAATAATTGACAGCTAAATTATAAGGTTTTTATTTCTGTTTTTACCTAGACTCAGGAATATCCACTTCCTACCTTCCCCTTGGCAGGTGTTGATGAAGGTAATTTTCTTTCCAGCAGATCTTTTATTTTCTCATTCCTTGTCTATACCTTTCCATTTCTCAAGTTCAAAAATATAATAATACTAAAGCTCTACACTTGATTATGCCAACTATCATCCTAGCTTCTGTATTTGCACAATTTACTCTAGGCTATGTGGAGGCTGCAGACATGGACTGAAGTTTGTGTCCATCGAACACCCAGGGATAAGGACAGGCTCCAAGCTGTCCTTCCTCACTTCCCTCCCTATTCAGAATGGCATGAACTGAAGACTGGAGAAACAAGTTGTGAGGGGGAGCAGCTTAAGTTTGACAAAAAGACAAATTGGTTGCTCCTTGGGTGAAGAATGTGTAGTTCACTCATTTTCTTATAGGAAAAAAGAAATCTTCACAGATGACAGTAAATATACTGCATACAATAATAATAGCACTCTACTAAGTCCATTATTGATGGAGATTAATGCTATGTCTCGAAATTGTGGTGATTTAAATTCAAAAGAAATAAATTAAATAACTGATGTCACTCTCATTTTCTAGTAAATGGCATCAATTTGATCAGAAATACTGTTTTAGTTTTCTTTGTTATCTACTCTGTAAAACAACAAATATGATTTCACTGGCTTATTTGAGGTCATTAGTAATAAAAAAATTACATGACTTTGAAAATACCTGCCAATGCTGTCCATTTATTTTAAATTGTATTCATCTAGAATTTTTGTAACATTAATGCCTGTATCATAATGTGGGAAA